TGAAAATACAAACATTCTGCTGGACTACATCTGGATGCTTGCCATTCAAAAGACAGTATTCAGTCATAAGGAGGCAGTGTGCAAGGGATCAGGTTATTTCAGTTGTTCCTAAGATGGTAGAAAGAGAGGCTAATGGTTACCACAATTCAGCCTAGGACAATGGAAGTATTTAAAGGGGACTTCAGGGGAAAGGCAATCAGCAGCTTGCTGAGTGGGCTGTGACCTCTGGTATGTTGTTTAAATAGATGTGCTGCTTTTGTTGTGGTTAAAACTTAACTGATACACAGCTTTAGAGCATAAGAAGGGGTTCCAGTCCCATTTTATCCTGTAACTATTACATGTGCTGGCTTCTACCAAACTCTGAAGACTTATCATTTCCTATCTTCTAACCATGTAGGTGTTTTTCTTTAGAAACAGGAATGTAGGAAAGGTGAGGGGAGGAATTTTTGCAAGAAGCAGAGAGAAGCAAAGGGCAAGGGATGAACACATATATGTGTGTATACACACCCACCCACACACACACACACACACACAAACACACACTTGCAGAGATTAGGAGAAGCTACTGTTACAAGCCCAAAATTAAGGGATGGCTTATTATTTCAATGATCCATAGCTCCACTAATACAAAGAGATTTGTCATAGTCTATATTTTAATGTTATCAGTCATCCTTCCCAATAACAATAGATCTTAAGGTAAAAATATGCTTGATAGCCATTTCCCTTTATATATCCTGATATTGAGTGTCATAAGATCACTCCTAGATATAATATATTAAGGTAGTATTGTGGCAATACAGACAAATAAACATGCAACTGAATGTGCTATAACTAAAACTCTTGATCTGGGGAATCTGAAACAAAAGCTCTCATAGGTAGTATCCAAAAAGGACCTATGCTGAGACAGGATTCTGCAACTTCCTGTTGCAAAGCTGGAGAGCAGTTGGAAACTGTTCACAGGCCTAGAGCTACTGTCTGAGGAAGGAAAGCATAGCTGTTTACATGAGTGTTGAGTTGGGCAAAGTTCAGGTGTGGTACATTCTGTACTAAGGAATTGTTACCTTTGAAGTAGTTGGGACTACAAGCAGGACACATGCTGCCCAAAGGTTAAGATAGGATTTCATGTTTTAACACATAGGACTATAATATAAAGTGTGTGAAGACCGAAGTTTGATCCTAGAACCCACATTTAAAAGCCAGACATTGTGGCACAGCTTGTAATGTCAGTGCTGGAGAGAAGGCCAGGCAGATTGATTCCTGGGGCTCGCTGGCCACTTGCCTAGCTGTGTGACTCTCAAAGGGATCCCTAGGCCAGGGAGAAACCCTTCTCAAAAGACAAGATGGATGGTTCCTGAGAAAACCACAGAGGTTGACTTTGCCTCCACGTGTTCACTTGCATGTGCGCACGCGCGCGCGCACACACACACACACACGTACATACGCACATGATTTTAATGCATTCACATATATGAGGCAGTTTTTGTTACTGTTGATGCTTAACCCATCCCATCCTTCCCTCTCTCATCTTCTTCCCCTTAAATTAAGTTTAGACATCTCAGGATTTATATATAAATATATATATATATATATATACATATATAAATATATATATATATATATATATATATTTCATTCTGCTCTTAAAGAGCTCGTATCTTAGGATGAAATCAGATCTACTAAGAAGCAAATCAAGTGAAAAATAAAGTTGACCTTTAAGACATTAAAAATATCTCACCTTTTTGTGTTATTCATTTTGAATTATCTAGAAGATCAAACCATTGAATGTGGGTTTCACATATGGAGTGCATAAGGAAAATGGTGGAGTAATTTGTTTTTTTATAGACAGCTCCTGTTGCCTCATATGAAAAGACATTTTACTGTCTCTTCCTACTTACCATAATATGTTTTAAAGTGTTATGATTATGTTTTAGTATGTAACATTAGATGCTCTGAGTTTATAGCTTAGCCCTGTTTAAATATTAATAGGTCTATTAACAACTGTGAGGCTGTGGAATATGCAGTAGTTAATTTTCTTTATTTTTTCTTGTATGATATACAGTGTCAGTTAATGTATGCACAGTTACATAAAATTAAAATAAAACTGAATTATCAGTTTTAAACTGTTGGATTTCATTATAATATATATTTTTTTAATCTAAGATGTCCTTATCTAGCTTGGATTCTAATTCTTAGACAGTAACTGGGTATCTAACTTAGCATTTGAGTGTGGACATTGATTGTCCATCCTTAGAACACTCATGGTATAAGAACCCTTCCAGAGACCCCCTCCGCTCCAGATGGGTTCATGTGTCTCAGCGCCACACTCTTTGTGACCACATAATCCACAGCTTGATCTTCAATGCTGATAGTTTACTGGAACAACTCTCAGAACTCAAGAATGTGATTTCATTGTTTTATCATGAAGAATATCTCACAGAGAGAGGGACATGAAGATCAGAGCATAGAGTTTCTGCAGCTGCTCTGGGCACTCCATCCTGAGAGCTCAACAGAGTAGTCGCCAGCTGGGACATGTTGGCTTGCTTTCTTCTCTGATGAGCTGTGATAGTCCAGTTGATAGACTCCTCCATCCCCGTGTTCAGGGATAAGGTAGGAGTCAAGCCAAGGGTTTGGGGATGGAGTTGGTGTCCACCTCCCACCCTTCAGCTGTCAGTAGAATAACTTCTTGACTTCCTGTTAAAATTCTTTTTGATTCTTAACTGATATATAAACAAAAATTATACATCTTAAATGAGGTGTTATTTCAGTAATACATACATTATGTAATGTTTAAGTTTGGTTAGATATATCTGTCTACTCAGATGGTAAAACCCTCCATACTTCTTTTTTTTTTTTTTTTTTAGCTTTCTTATTGAGCAGTACACCACTGGTATTTGCAGTAGAGTGTGGCACACACTTCTTGCTCACATGTGATTGAACTTAGAACTTCATCATTAATGCATCAAATACCTGAAAGAAGCAGCTTAGAAAGGCAGGAAAGGAATGTGGAAGGACTGCCTTGGCACTGGACTAGCAGGGGTGTGCAGTGGCTGGTCACATGCCTTTGGTAGTTAGAAAGTATTGAACTCATACCAGAACCAGGCTGAGCTGTAACTTAAAAGACCCGTAAGCATTCTCCCTCTAGCCCAGTGCTTCTCAACCTTCCTAATGTTGTGACCCTTTAATACAGTTCCTCATGTTGTGGTGACCCCCCCCATCATGAAATTGTTTCTTTGCTACTTTGTAACTGTAATCTTGCTTCTATTATGAATTGTAATATAAATATCTGATAGATAGGATATCTTTGCAAGGTCCAAAGGGGTTACAACCCACAGGTTCAGAACTGTTGCTCTAGCCAGACCCCATCTCTTAAGATTACAAACCTCCTAAAATGGTGCCACTAGCTGGAGAGAACTCTTCAAACACATGAGCCATTTGGTGTCTTTTCTACTCGAACTGTAATAGAATACCATCTCTACCTTGTCCAGCCCCCCTTCAATCCCCAGCCTTTGGAAACCCTCATATTCGTCTTAGCATGGATGGAAACATCTCTTAGATTCTACATACTAGTGCAGTGAGGCAGCACTTTTATTTCTGTACCCATCTTGTTTTACTTAATGATTGTCAGTTCCAAAGGACCCTAGCTCTATCAAGGTTGTCACAAATGACAATTTTATTCAAGTAAATAATATTTGATTAGAAATGCATACCATGTTTTCTTTAGACATCATCAGATAATGGATACTAAGATTGCTTCCATTTCTTGCATTAAAAATGTGAGTGCAGATGTCGCTCTTGTACTCATTTCATTTACTTTGGCTATATGACTAGAAATGAACAGTTAAGTCAATGTGGTAGCTAAAGTTTTAATTTTATTTATTTATTTATTTTTTTTTTTGAGTTTCAACTCAGCTTTTGATAATGTCTGTACTGGTTTACATTACCACCAGCAATGTGTATAAAGGTTCCCTTTCTTCACACCCTCCCTGGCCCTCACCTTTTCCTTAATAGTCATCCTCACTCACAGTCTACATGTGTCTTATATTTGTATCCCCCTGATAACTAGTGTTGAGAATTTCTGCATTTACTTATTGCTCACTTGTGTATATTGTTTCAAGAAATAGCTATTTAAATCTGTTGTTCAGATATTTGTAAAAAGAGTTCTTAATTGGTTTAGATAATAAAAAGCTGGAGTCAGAGATAGAGGGAAACGCTGAGAGATCAGAGAGATGGAGCAAGCTACAGCACACCTTACTTCTTAAGCATCTCAGCAGAGAAGAGAGCGATTTCCTTGTTTATATCCTGTTTCTGCCGCTACGTCACGTCCTGTCTGTCTATACAGACCTCCAGACCTCTGTGGTTAACTAGTAGCAAACTTCATTCTCTAACCACGGTCCCCTCCCTACCCCTCCCCCCCCCAACAGGCTTTATTTGTGCAAGAAAGATATCACCACAGATTTTACTTTTATTTGTTTGCTACTGAATTCCTCATGTATTTGGCATAGCAACCCTCTGTCATATACTCTCTCTTAGTCTTTGTAAGTCTCCCATTCTGTGAGCTGTAGTTAAAATCTGCATTTGCTTCATTGGAAAATCTATTTTGTCATACCAGTAAGACTTAATTATACAAAAAAAAAAAAAAGACCCAATAAAATATATAGTTTGTGTTCCTTTCTGAAATCCACATAGTGCTAGAGAGATGAAAAAGGTTTGTGTATGTGTTGGGGTTGAGGAGGTTGTTACATGTGCCATATGCAATTGTATAATAATTCTCTAAGATAAAGTTTTAAGCACTGCATATTTAAGCAAATCTATTTATATAATCTATGGATATAATAGGTATTTTAATATTTGATTCGTTTGTAGTATATTAAGTTGAAAGAAAAAAATTAACATCTAGTGAAAGTTTCCTTTTTTGTTACATTCCCCTAGTCTAGAGTGTAAAGTGGCATTGAGGCAGTTTTTACAGTCATAAATTCAGGTTTCTCTTCTGCTTCTCCTAGATGTAATAAAGGAACAGAACCGAGAGCTGCGAGGCACACAGAGGGCTATAATCAGAGACCGAGCAGCCTTGGAGAAACAAGAAAAACAGCTGGTGAGTAGAACAATGAATTTCAGAAAAACTTGTAAGAAACAACACTTCATCCTTTGCTGAATTTTCTCCTTTTGTTATTGTATCATTTGTTGACTTTTTATCAGAATTGCTTTCTGTTGATACAAAATCAAATTATCCCATTTTGTGAAAATTATGAATGACTAGGAGTAAATATTTCTTAAAACAGATCTGCTGTAATGGGTAGGGTTTTTCCACCTGCCGCCGGTCTGGTCCTGCCGCCACGCCAACCCCAAATAATGCACAGAGACTCTGTATAGATATAAGGCTGTTGGCCAGTTACTTGTTTCTTATCGGCTAGCTCTGTCTTAGTTATTAACCCATTTCTATGTATTTCCACATGGTCTTACTGACAGCAGAGGAACGGCAGTTCTGCTTTCTCCAGACTCTCCATCTTGACTCTCCTTCCTACTTCCTCTTTCCTCCTCTTGTCTCCTAGTCCCTCCTATCTTCCTTTCCTATTGGCCAACAGTGCTTTATTCATTAACCAGTATGAGAAACATATACAGAATGACATCTCCCATCAATCTGCCTTCTGGTAAAAATAAAAATAGTAATGAACAACAAAAGAAAATTATAAATAATATCATAACACCTTGATGTCTTATGTGGTCTTCCATGACAATTTATTATTAGTTAGATGGATATTGCTCATCTTAAAATTTTCTTTATGCTATATTTCAAGTGCATGTTGCCTCAATCCTAAAGCACCTTTACTGAGCTGTCAGAGACATGAGCAAAATTGTACATATTTAAAGTATTCCAATGATACTTTAAGTATATTCCCTGAAATTGTTACTCTAGAGAAAGCAATAAACATAGGCATTGTTTCCCCAAACTTCTGATGCTGTATGAAATCTTTCCTATCCAGCCTCACTGTCTTCCTTTATTCAGTGACAATAATACTGGGGTCCCTAGATTCATTTGTGTTTCTAAAATTATATAAAGGTAGAAATCAATGAACTCCTTTCTTTTTCTTTAAGCACAGTTAACTTTGAGGTTAACTGTTGCTGCCACATATATGATGGGTGCCATTCTGTTATTGGCATGTCTCCTAATTTGTGTTTGGTACTCAAATGGACAATGGGGTGGGAAGTAGGGTGATGAGCATCTTTTTAAACATGAAAAAAGAAATAATTTCTAAAATTATTCAAAACATTCAGTTGTTATCATCATACTATAAAACACAGTGAACACTTGTGTAGGCACTTAGGATTGACCTGATAGTTTTATGATTTAGTCCCTTTATCATTGTGAGATTTTTTTTACTTCTGGCAATATGTGTTCTCAAATTTATTTGATCTGATATTAGTATAGCCACCCCATATTTGCAGACTTTGGTAAATATAATGTATTTTCTTCTTTTTAAGACAACTTTGCTCTTATATTTAAAATTAGAGTCATGAGATAGTATATAGTTAGATTTGCTCTTATATATTCTAGAACTTGCTTTTTAATTGGTATACAAGATGGACCATTTGTTTCAGTGTGGCTACCTGTATTAACTTTACTGCCTCAGTCTTTATTGTCTTCGCCATACTAGTTTTCTTACCTATTTTTGGGTTTCCATTTTATATTTTCTCCTGGGCTGTATGCACGTACTGTTTCATAAACTTGCTTGATGTTCACGAATGAGAGTACCAGTTCTTCCTGTGACATACACAGCCTCTCAGGCACCCTTCCTCTCGGTGATTTCATGCCTACTTGCCATGTTCTTCTGGATGATCACTGAGGATTACCCCTTAATTTTATTCCCTTATCTTTTTTTTCTTCTTTTTCTTAGGAATTAGAAATTAAGAAGATGGCCAAGATTGGTAATAAAGAAGCTTGCAGGGTTTTAGCTAAGCAGCTTGTCCATCTACGGAAGCAGAAGACAAGAACTTTTGCTGTAAGCTCCAAAGTCACGTCTATGTCCACACAAACAAAAGTGATGAATTCCCAGATGAAGATGGCTGGTGCAATGTCTACCACTGCAAAGGTAACTGGGAGCTTTGGTGTTTTGTCAAGGATATATAGACGTTGATACTCAAATTAGATTCAAAGTACTTCTGGTGCATCTGTGGTACAATAATCTTAAGTTATTAATAAAATAAGTTATAGCACGAGATAATCCAAGTAATTGATTCCAGCTCAGTTGTTGGTGTGCTATGAAGTAAGGACATTGAGATTTTCCAAAGTTTATATGGAGTTGACTTAGAATAGTGTTTGTTTTTTCCAATAAATTGTCAGAAATATAAGGGTTTCTTTTTTCTTGTTATTTCTAACTACTTTTGACTAATAATAATTTCCTCTTGATTCACTTTTGTAAAAATTCAGAACCATACATATGAATGTGGGAACTTTGCATTTTAGGAACTTATATTTAATTATATGTGAGTGTGTGTGTGTGTGTGTGTGTGTGTGTGTGTATTCTGTGTGTGGCAATCAGTAACTTGGTTTCAGGAATTCTGATCATTTCAGTCACTGATAAAAATACACAAGAACAAGTACTTTTATCTCCTCTATCATCTTACAGACAGCCAGAACTAAAAAATCTGACTTGGGGGACAAGGTCATATGAAGATCACATAGCTAAACTGGTAACTTTGCACCAGTGTAGAGGATAACAATTACCTTGTTCCTGTAAATGATAGGCTCAGAAATTATATATAGTGTGCTTTTGCTATGTACAAGTATCTGAATTGGAATTCTTAGTTAAATGACTTAATTTCTGCATCTTCTTAGAATCCCCCATGACAGCGCCCCTTACCAGTAGGAAGTAGTTTGGAAAGAATGATGCCCAAATTCCCAAATATTGTCTATAAATGTTTGTTTTCATTTAAATGGACTTGGTTATATTAAATAAATACATAAATAAATAAATAAATAAATAAATAAATAAATAAATAAGAAAAGAATGTACTATTTGGTAAGCAAGTGTTTGTTCAGGTACTCAAGTAGTTTGTATGAAATGGCTAAGCCAGACCTGCATGGAGCTTGTAGTCTCTTTAAGAGGCAGGTTACAGGAGATGTAGTGTGTACAGGACTCTAAAATTTTACTCATACTCAGGTAGCATTTCACTGAATAGTGATACCTTCTGCAAATTATTGAGCTTTCTATGCCTTTGCTCACCATTTGTAATGGGGGGGAAGGGAAGGAAGCACCCCATGAAGTTCTTGTGTTTTAAATGTCACTTAACGTTAAGATTAGTATATGCAGATTGCTTAGAGCAGAGAGGGGCACTTGTAAGAGACTAATGTGTGACAGTCCTGTGCAGGGGAGAGTACTCCCCTTTAAGGAGATAAAAGGTCAGTGACCTGACCGAGCTGTAGTGGAGACTGAGTCTATCTTGTTAAGTGGGTTTCAGTTGTTAGCTTCCACAGACACATTTAATACTAAGTCAGTCAGAAGACTATTTGCTGTGGCTGCCTTTATACTTATTCTGTAGATGGCTTTCACAGTTAGGTAGCTAACATGAGCTTTTCTTTTCTTACAGACAATGCAAGCAGTCAACAAGAAGATGGATCCACAGAAGACACTACAAACAATGCAGAATTTCCAGAAGGAAAACATGAAAATGGAAATGACTGAAGAAATGAGTAAGTTTAAGAACTATATAGTGTTCTCTTCTGATTAACCAAGTCCGTGTCCCAACAGGCCCCTTTTCACAGATAATGCAGCAGAAGTGACAGCAGCATGACAGACTTCCATGGAGTGACTCGACCTTTTTTCAGTCTGTTGACTGGAGGGGGTATAAATATTCTCTGCCTATGAACACAGAGGTGATAGCCACATGCAAAGGGCTTGCACAGGTCCAGGCCAGCTGGGGTCCCAGGATTAAGAAAGGAAAGTGGGCGTGATCTCCCCTGACCAACCAAGACCGTATCCCCAATTGACAGCCACCTGTAAGGGAAAATTTAGTTTTCTCAGGTGAAGTCTCTACCTATAAAAAACTGCACTTAAAGGTGGGCCCCAGGCCAGCAGTGGAAGGCCAACTCCAAACCAGCTCAGTGCTGATATTTGAAGTGTTTTCTCTCATATTGCTTTGTCTGGACATTATTTTTACATTACTAATCTCTTTGTATAATAGTTTCCGATTTGTGTTTTTATGTGTTTTGCTGTGTGTGAGTGTGTATGTGTGATTCTCATGCCTTTTCCTTATTTATTTTTCCCACTCTGTTTATTAGTTTGTTGTATTCTACTCTGACTTGTTCTTTGTTTTTAATTGGCCTGAGAAAGAAAGACAGTGGAGTTGAATAGTCTGGGGAGGTAGGAATGATCTGAGAAGGATGAGGCAGGAGAAACCATGTTCAGACTATACTGTAGGAAAACAATCAATTTTCAATTAAACATAAGACTGTGTCATAATTTCATCAGTGAATGGCCTTCACAGCCCTTAATTTTACTGGACAGTATAAACAGTACTTTCTGAAGTCTGGATGTGGTTGTCACACTGGAGACCTGTCCTGTCTCCAGGCCGGGGGGGGGGGGCGCTGTAGCTGCTGCCTGTGCTTTGTGTCACTCAATGGCATTAAGTTTAGTTTCCAAAATGCAGTGGAAGAAAAATGGTGAATGAAAGGAAGTGGGCTCCACCCAGCTATTGTTACTCATGGTGAGCCCATTTCTGCCCTGTTTTTTCCAATCAGAGTGAGAGCACACATAGCCATGAATGCCTGCTTCATTTTAAAAATCGTGACAGTATAACCTAGACACGCCCTCTCAGTTGTGCGATCTGGCTGAGGTTACAACTGAGGTTCAGGGTGGTTGCCTAACAAGCCTACGGCCCTGGCTTGCTTCCCAGTACTGAAAATAAGTAGTTTTGGTATATCACCTATCATCACCAACACACCTTTATTAAGCCCTTTATTTACATCAGTAGGGTTAGTTTTAAATTTTCAATTTATGTGACAACCTTTCTTTGAAACTGGGTGTGTTTTACTTCACTGGTTCATTAAACTTCCTGAGATTATGATTTAGTTGTGGGACTCCAAGCTTCTTTCCAACAAAATGAGGCCAATGTTTATTTTACTAATAATGACTGAATGACTTTTATCACACTCTGGTCAATACTGAAACGTGTGTGTCAGCGTTTTGCCTCATTCTATCATTTTCTGGCTGCTTGCCAACCGGGCTCTCTCCCGGTTTAGCCTCACTCACTTGCTAGCATTTTAGTTTACTCATCTGGTGTGGCAAACAGCACCTAATACACTTGCTAGATTACCACACTAGCTAATAGCCACCTGTCCCATAATAGAGTGTGGTGTTCTCTTCTTGATGACGTTTATGCTGTGAGTGTCTTCACTGGTGACTGAAAGAGTTGTTTACCTTCTATTTCAAGCCTTAGAAAAACACAGTGGGCTCTTTGACACAGTCCACCAGAGTTCCCTGGACCCTGAGGAGGGGGATTTGATGGAGACGTCTCGTTCACGGCTGAGATCTCCAAGTTCTCTCACTCCATGTATTGCGTTGCTGTGGGTCTCTGTGTTTGTGCCCATCTGCGGCAGGAGGAAATTTCTCTGATGATGGCTGAGCAAGACTCTTATCTGTATAGCAGAATGTCACTAGTAGTCATTTTATTGCTACATTTTTTTTAAAAAAAAAATATAATACTAGTATTTGTTTTATTCTTAATTCTCTGAGCTATATAGTCTTAAGTCTCAGGTCCTTAGTCACTCACGCCATCTTGAATATGGGTCCATCTTGCTAAGTGAGCCTTAAGTCAAATCATAAAGGTTGGTTACCACTAGCTTTGTGTGCCATGTTGCCCAGACTTGTCCACATGCAAGCTTTGGAACAAGGCCTGTGGGAAGTGTTTACATCTTTGTCACGTGTCTGTTTTGTGATGTGAGTCTGCAGTGCTCATACTCTGTCCCTCCCTCTCCTCTCCTGTGGAACTTCATTAGACCAGTGCTTCTCAGGCGTCCTGATGCTGCGCCCCTTTAATACACTTTCTCTTGTTGCGGTGACCCCCAACCAGAAATGATTTTCCTTGCTACATCATAATTGTAATTTTACTACTGTTATGAGTTGTACTGTAAATATCTGATACGTGACCTCTGTAGAGCAGTCCTCTGACCCTCATGAGTTGTTTACCCACAGCTTGAGAACCTCTGATTTAGCTCTTGAGACCTGGCCTGGCCTCTTCCCTGCCTCACTGCCATTAGCATTCAGGTTACACGCTGCTGAATTAATACTCTAGACGCTTACTTCAGAGAACCCTGCCCAGACTCCTGCAATGGACTCTTTCTGACCACAGAGTAACCAAACCAAACCAAACACGAGAATAGTACATACAAAAAGTAAAGCTGTTTTTTAGTTAAGATGTGATAGGCAAAATGGTTTGCTTTCAAAAGCTGCTTTGTACTAAACACAAGAACTGAGATCCTAATTGAATCTGATTTATGCTTTTATTCCTTGGAAATAAAATGCTATGATATCCCATGTTTATCATAAGCTTTTTAGCCCTTTCTAAATTTACTTTTTATTGTTTAACAAGCCAAATTTCCAATATCATAACCAATATGCAGCTTTGTTATTAATGTTGAGGCCACCAAAAGCTAATGTGCAACAATCACAGTTGAGTCTCACTTTTCTTCCTGTGTCTGTATTGGATATAATATCTGTGATTTCAGATATTAGATAAGACTTCTCATGACATTGTTTGCCATCTTATACCAAAAGGAACATTAAGGTTGAAAATGTTTGTACTGTGGTCATTCCTCAGATGGTCCACTACTCATGTAATATCCTCCAGGGAGCCAGCCATAGCTTATAAGCTCATGAAATGTAGGTTGTGAGCTATTGCAATAGTAAGCCATTGTTAGTTATAGTAAGCCAGGATATGCTAAGACCCCCCTGTAGATACCATTTTACTAACACATGCTCAGTCTATAATGAGGGGCCTACTGGCCAGGTTGGTTACAAGATCAAAGTAGGTAACGTATCTTGTTTTACCTTTTATTTCCTCTCAGTATGGTATTTTGGGTAATTCCTGTCATAGGCCGACCCCCCACACACACACACATACACACTCATTTCTTGCTCTTTTCAAAATTCTGCCTTCAATAACAACCAAGCAGAAGAAATGCTATTTCCTTGTATTTGTTCCTGTTGCTTCTACTCCTTCTTCTAGGTCTGTCTTACAGGGATGTGTTCTCTTTCTGCTGAAAGCTATTGGATGTTTATTCCATATACAATATATTGGTTTTGGTTTTCCATTCGAGATAAATTATAAGTCTTCATTTGTCATGTGTTCTTCTATTGTCTGTGTACCGCATGGCAGACACATGTATACCCAGATCCAAAATAAATACACGATCCCAGCTTTTCTTAAAACCAGAAATATCCTCTATAACTTAACATGATGCCCCTTATTCAAACTCTTTCAATACGTATTTTGGTAGGAAAGGAAAGAAAGATGATGATAGCATTAATAAAATTGCAGGACTAAAGTGAATATTATTCTTTGGGTAAATTTAGTAGAACATTCAGCCATACATTTTATTAAAATACCCTACCTATATCTTGAATGTTAACATAAGAAATAATGCAAATATTACAAGTCGATAGGAGGCAGGTAACTATCTCCTAGGTATTAATAGACAATTCGATTCTTGCAAATTTTTTCTTGGTTAGCTTGAATAGCTCAGTGGATAACCATTTGTGAAATTATATTTTAAAACTATGAGCCTAGAGCCATAACTGTCACATGGGTTTTGTTTATTCAAGATCTAGTTTATAAATCACTTTATCCTTTTTCTCTGGTGCTGAAGCATGGACTTGGGGTCCTGTGCATAGTGATCACAGCATTGCTGAGTCTGTTTTATTACAGGATTGAATGTTAAAAATGGCATCGTTCCAAATGTATTGGCTCAGATAGTTATTTATCAGTATAACTGATTGACACTTGAAACGTAAGTTTTATGATTTGTTGGTTCCCCTAAATTTGCTTTTTAATCATTATAAACTTGTATATACAGTTTGATCATAGTCAAAAAATATAAATTTAACTTGTAACACACTTGAAAATAATCTGTTTCTTTTCTCTCCAAGTCAATGATACCCTTGATGACATCTTTGATGGTTCTGATGATGAAGAAGAAAGCCAGGACATTGTGAATCAAGTTCTTGACGAAATTGGAATTGAAATCTCTGGGAAGGTGAGAACAGTTTTTGTCCCTTAGTGTTCCCTGCATCTTTTTCCATGTGTGTCAGCAGAAAATATGTCCTCTGCCCCCATTCAGATGCTTGTGCTAATATTTTATCTCTCTCACTCTTGTCTGTGATATAGATGGCCAAAGCGCCGTCGGCTGCTAGAAGCTTACCGTCTGCCTCCACATCAAAGGCTACAATCTCCGATGAAGAGATTGAACGGCAACTCAAGGCTTTAGGGGTAGATTAGATCACGAAGCCATACTATTGTCACTTTCTTACAATTATTTGACCTGAAGTGGGTCTGGTGTAGATTCCTTGTACAAAACCATTCATTTTGCAAAAATGAAGACCATGAGTGAACTATTGTTTCCTGACCCATGGCTATTTTGAACCTTTTGCCAAAGAATTCCAGTGATGCAAAAATGGGAACAGTTTGGGTGTTGACTAGAACCACGAAGGTCTGATGATGTCTGCAAACTGAGTTCTTCCTGCATGGCTTAGAGAAGCGGTGTCATTACTTAGTGTCAAGGTGTGTTCTAAATCTTTTCACACCGAAATAAGAGTTCTTGTTGAATGCCAGTAGGCACCAACTTAAAGAGACTTGTAAAAATATTAAAGATATATCATTAATTCTGTATGTTTCTTGTCCTTTGTAGACAGTTATGTTAGGACCACAGGCGGTGCAGCTGCCAAATATTTTTAAATCGTCTAAAAAGGAGTGCTATTTAAACATCTGTCTTAAACACTGTCATGAGCTTTTACTTTTCTTCCATTTTCCCCCTTTGGGAGAACATTCTAGTGGGTAAGTTTATTACCTTTCAAAATGTGCTTGGCACCTGCCTTAAATAGCACAAACATATTGTGCACATCTTTAAATTATTTTAACTGGCAAAAAAGAATTACATTTTAAATAAAATTGAGACTTCCAACAGTTACCCATGCTGTGTTGTAAAGCTTATAAAAGTGAAGTGGATATAATTAGCAAAATGAAGAAAGAAGACACTGAATTAATCACATTTTATAGTAATGAAAACACTCTTTGGTCTTTCTTCCAAGAACTGAGACTTTCTCCATATAAATTATAACTTAGTCTGTGTTGAATTTTGAATTGTATTAATATACACAGTAAATCCTCTAAATTGAAGCCATTCTTCTAAATGAAGTACTTACTACTATGACAATACTTGACCTAGATTTCTAAGAGCGTTTTTGTTTTGTTTTGTTTTTGGTAAATAAACTGCAACTTTGTCAGAAATTGCTGCCTAAAGTGCATCATTGTTGTAGCAGTAATTTGAAAAGTAAGTTATGTCCTATATGTCCTATAGAGAGCAGGAGAAAGGGATGGCTCCACAGAGTTAGAAGTAGAATTTAGAATTAGGTTAGTTTTGAAGAATGATGTTGTAATGTATGGATTCTGACACATCCCAACACAGAAACTGTAGGAACTCCAATGAGTGTAACTTGGGGAATCCCAAGGGTTGGACCTTTAGGCTGGCAGATAACAAAGGCAGACACATACTGTGACTTTAGACGTGGCACAGATAGGTGCAAGGAGCAGAAGCTCCACTATCTGCTTCAGAATCCATAAGCATCTTGTGTTCCAAGAGAAGGCCACAGTACTTATGGTGTCAAGTGCACAATTCACATTTTCCCTGAGGGGAAGGAGTCCAAACATTGTACTGTATCATCGGGTGTTGCACCCAAACCTGTTTTGGATGTATAGAGTTATGTCGTCTAACCTAATTTACTTGTTTATATGTGAGACCTTTGAGTTTTAAGATTATTTTATCCTAAAAAAAAAAAAAAAAAAAAAACTCAATAAAGATTTATTGCTCTTATCCATTTTTTCTTTTTTCCTTTGTTTTTGACTGCTGTTAAGGCTAGGAAGTTTGCATATATGTAGTTGTTTAAACAGAATAATTTTGCTATTTTTCTGTAAGGAAGTTTAGATTGCTGCGCTACTTCAATTTATAAAACAAAAGGGAGTGTCTTTTTTAAGAACTGAAAATGGTTAAAGGGTTGGTTTTTGCCTGTGGGGCAAGCCCAACAAGTAGTAGTTTCCAGTTCTATCATTTCTTTCCTCCAGTCTCCAAGAAGAAGACATTTCAGTGTTGTTACATGCACTTTCCTGCCAGCCTGGTCCCAGAGCTGCATCAGTCCCCTAATAACACGCAGAGACAGTGTAGTAATTATGAAATTGTCAGCCAGTTACTAGCATTTCTTATCGGCTAGCTCTGTCTTAAATATTAACCCATTTCTATCAATCTAAGTGTTTACACATGGTCTTATCTTACTGGAGAGAGGGTCTGGACCTCTTCTCTCATGTCCTACATCTTGACTCCTCTCTACTACATCTCCCAGAATCTTTCTTGTCCCCTAGTCCTGCCTATCTTGCCTCCCTATTTGCCAAAAGTTCTTTATTCATTAACCAATAAGAGAAACATATTTAGAGAATGGCATCTCCCATCACAGTATTATGTTTTCAAGTATACAAGTATCAAATACTTGCTTCTGTTTTAATCAAATACAGATACACAGAACTGTGGGCTCACAATGATATTGAAATTATTGTGACTTGACTACATTGCTAAATGTCTTGGGGGGGCACATTACAACCATAGTAAATCTGTCAGTAACTTCTCTTTTACTAAAAGAGTTCACTTTAGTGACTTTTATTGGTTGAGCATAATAGAAATCACTTTTTAAAATCTTTCCTCTGTTTGGTAATAGGGTTAGTTTAGCATGGGCTTGCTGGTGGAAAGGGAACAGAGGAACACAGCAGTGTCTCTGCTACTGAAAGAGGTCCATTGGGGTCATGGATGGAGCCGATTTCAGAGGACCAGAGGAATGTCAGGTAGTGTGGACATGCTGTGGTTCTCCTAATTCCTCAGGGATTGATGGCCACAGCCCACAGGAGCTGAAGTGGGGAACAGGGTTGGGATGGCTGTAGATATGAAGATAGCCCTCTGGGGAGTGACTTAAGTAAGACAACTCTTCCAAGTTTATGGAATATACGAGCAGCAGGGGGAAAGCTTCTAGCAGGGAACTGTGTCAAGAGTCAAGCCAGAGATAGTCAGGCATCTGGGCCTAGAGGCATCCTCCAAATAAGGGCAGGTAAAGAGCAAGAATCCGTACTTGGGAGGGAGTACTTCATGTTGCTGAGCTTGGAGAGAGCTGCCAGGCCATGATAGACTGCAATCTAAAAACCGGCAGGAACAGCATGCCACTACAAATGATGTTGATATTTGGTATTAGGAAGCATAAAATGACCATATGGCAGGTTGTGTTACACAGAGTGTAGTTGATGGGATTGCCTGATGGGCAAGGGCTGTGTTAAAGCAGCTCAAAACTGAATTATATGGACCAGAGGCTAGCAGTCTGTGGCATTGTTATTTGACTTTGAATCGTTTATATTTTATTTACCTTTGAATGTCCATAGAAATAGTCTTCCTTCGGTAGGAGGCATGCTCCCCACAAGCCCGATTTCCACATTTCTGGCCTGATTTCTGTGTACCTAATTTAAAATACTCCGACTTCAATTTAGCAAGGTCTGAAAATAGACGTATAATTTTCTCCTTATTACAAAAAAGATTATGAACTGGCAACACAGATCCTCTATTATCTATCCTTCAGACCTTGAAGGCACACACTTTCCCAGCCCCAAACTCTGAAAATACTTCCCTTTCCACCATTAGAGATAGAAGGCACATTTCATGAGTGTGTTTTTCAGCCATTTCTGTTAGGTAATGTTGTTAGAAGCGGTGAATACATCTTTCCATCTTAATGATTTCCTCACTGAATTCCTGGAAGCATACATTGTGCAACCCACAGGACATAAAAGTCTATGCAGCTTGTCAGCCCTCAATATTTCTTTCCCAGAATCTACACAGTGAATTGCATTTGTCATTTCCTTAATTACAATTTAGGAGTCTATATGACATAGTGCCTCTCTGTTTTGAAGGTTAAAAATCTAATAGAATATTAAATATGGCTAGAAAATAGTCTCAAAATGCATTATTATATATAAATGAGTCTACTGATGGTGTCTAGACTTGAAAAGATAACATTATAGACACATAGATATGTTCTAGTTCATGTACATTTGCACATGAATCATGTTAAACATTACCACCAGATCCATATTTAAAACATAAAAATGCAGCTGGTCTAGGTTTATAGTGCATGGAATTTAGCTTCTATTTAAGGTGTCAAAGTGCAATGTGAGACTTTGCATACATATGTGTGCACGTGTGTATGCGATGATACTTCCATTTGCAAACTATGTGTGTTTTAAGCAGTTTTTAAAAATAATAATTTTCCAGAGAAACTTAACAGCTGAAAGAGAATCACTTGGAATTCTTGAGACGCATCCAACACAGATTAGATGGTGCACCTGTGCCTGGGTTTGGAGAATTGGTTTAAGTTTCTGTGTGTACTAACCTGAGGTATGCCTCTGGCCCTCTTCTCTTTTCATTTTTAGATACAGTCTTACTGACTTGAATTCACTCTGTAGCCAGGCAAACTTTGAATTTGGGATCTACGCTGGCTGCTGGCCGGAATACAAGCTTGCTTCCCCCAGACCCAGCTTTAGTACTGGGGGGAGGGAATGGAGGAGAGGAAAGAGGGGGAAACTGTGGTAGGGATGTGAAATAAATGACTAAGTTTGATTAATAAAAATGTATAAAAATATATATGACATTGGATGGTATAATTTATTTGGCTAGTATGCTTAACTGTTAAATTCTCACCTAATTTCAACTCGTGTTACACAGAATAGATTAGAGGAATGTTGCCAGCAGACTGACATGCAAAACACCAAAGTTGCTATTCTAGATTGGTACTACATTAGTTGCTTCTACTTATAAGTTTCAGAGTTCATTTTCAGATTCAGTAAATATCTTCCTTGTTATAATCCTGAGAATTGAAAAGTCAACCTTTCCCACTTTTATTAATAATAATGCATGGTGTAATTATTGATGCCAAAATTGACATATTGTTAAGTGACCTCAAGTGAGTTTCTATACTTCAGAAATAACAGATTTTTCAATTTGGCTGGCACCCTTCATATTTGTAGCAGTTGTCCACCATACAGCCCATTCCTTTAGCCCAGTTTATAGATACCTAGTATAGGCAGGCTTTTGTTTAGTCACTGTGGAAATAACAGTAGATAAGATGGGTTGTTGCCCTGTTGCAGCTTACAGACATGAATGACAGAGGTCAGGAATAACTAAAGTATACTTTTGTTTTTCAGTTTCAGTTGTTCTCAGGACTGAACCCAGTATCTGAAACATACTAGGGTTACTCTGTCACTGGACTTAAGTTCCCAGCTTTTATGTTTTCTGTAGCAGAACAGAATAAAGCAAATGTTTGTGACATCATGCCCAAATGTTCCTACAAATCTTAAAAACAAAAAACATTTCTTTAGGAAGCAGTCCTAAAATGTTAACTTCAAAGGTATCAAAGGATTCTGACTGAAGATGATTTCTGAAGGCAATGGTAAAATTCTTAGCCACCAACTGGTTCTTCATACCTTACTCAAAACATCTTTAGGGCTAGTGGAATATCAAATATAAATCAACATACTTTTTCATCTTTAGCTTTATTTATTTTTGCTTTATGTGTATGGGGTTTTTGCCTATATGTATATTTGTGCATCACATGCATGCCTGGTACCCATGAAGGCTAGAACAGCCATTGGACTCCCAGTGGAAATGACTGACAGTTATGAGCTGTGCTGGGTATCCAACCCAAGTTCTCTGGGAAAACAACAAAGGCTCTTATAACCACTGAGCCAGCTCTCCAAGCATGTCAATACATTCTCAGTGTGTACTTTCCATGGTTAATATTCTATAAATATTTGTTCTTACTTGTTAAAAAATTAAAAACAATAAATTGGCTTAGAAAATGAAATTTTAAACTAAAACTAAAAGATACATATATGCTGCCCTCACCCCATTTCTGTGTTACTAGAAGAGATTAGGGTGAGGGTTTCCTAGATTTTAGTGTTTTAGGATTTTAAATGAGCACTGAATCTTAAGAACAATTAAAGGTCCCAATTTAAATCATGGACTCTTCAATAAAACTGCAAACGTTATTGATTTAATCTAGTTTTTGAAGCTAACCAAGTGAGTAACTCCTGATTTTGCTTGCAAACTGGAAGGAGTGGGAAGTGGCTACACAAACAGCTACCACACTCAAGTCTTATCGGCACTCGAGGTGCTCCTTCGAAATCGAGAACAGGCTTTGGTTCAGACTGGTTTTCACTCGTTTTTCTCGCTGCCTTCGGTTGCAAAACCAGACTCTTACTACTTCTTTCTCGAGATTCAGTTCTTCAGCCATCCGCATGATCTCCTGAGAGGAAGGCTTGCTCTGCTGTCCAAAATGCCTCTCCAGCGCATCCTTAGCTGCAATACTGGGGGGGTGAGGGTGGTGGTGGTTAGCGTTTGGGACGAAATTGTGTGTCGTTCAATGAAGTTTTCGGAAAAATAAAATGAAGCTTAACTTTATAAATATTACTACGGAAAAGTAACTCATCGATTATAAAAACAATGACTTTTTTTACCCAGAGGCATGTCTTATTCTAGACATAGGCAAAAACTAGGGAACCCAGGTTCTCTCTCTTTATACCACAAGGGGGCACCAAGTTCTTGACAAAGAAAAGGAATTGTGGGCCTTTCAAAGTACAAGGGCTCCCTGCCTGCTTATCACCTGCCCCCCCCCACACACACACACCCAGTCATTGCCAGGGTTTATAATGCAGGAAATGTGTAATTGACAACTACCTGAGATTAAAACCTTCTGCTATTTCCTATGAGCACCTCACAGAAACAAAGGCATCACTAAGTTATCCTTCGTGGTTGAAATGAAGGGTCTTGAGAGACATTAGACTGACACACCTTTTGTTATTTTTAGTGAAGATACTGCATTAGCAGAGTGAGAACTTGTAATCTACAAGGGCATCAGTTAATTGTTTGACTTCCATTTTTCAGTCTGTGCCAAGACAGCGAATGAAACAATACATATTTGTCCGTGAAATGTTAAAAAACAAAATACTACCTTCATTTCTATGAATTTGGTTTTTTAAAACACTTCTTTGTTTCATCAATTATTTCTATTGACCTCATGTGTTATAAACTGTACTTAAATGCTGATTCTATGTGAACACTGTTTCTTTCTTTCACTGTTAAATGTATTATCTGGAAGAAATACCTGATAGTTGTTCTCCGTTTCCTTTTCCTCTCATTCGCTCCCACTTTTTCATTGTACAAAGCTGTAATGTAGGAAAGACAAAATAAAAGTAGAAAGTAATTTTAAACTAGCATTTTGGAGGGTTTCAATTTTCCATATAAAATAATGCAAACTACAATTGCTGTGCATTTCTGTCTTAACTGCAAGTTAGGCCATTTCATATTGCATTTATTATAAAAATAGTACTAAAGCAAAATAAATATAAATCTGGTAAAGATTTTTTTTTTTTTTACAAACCCTATGTTCACTTTCTGTTAAAACATTCATTGTAAATGTTTCCAAGTTTCATTTTTTTTTAAGTTTTCAATTGTGTGTGTGTGTGTGTGTGTGTGTGTGTGTGTGTGTCCACGGCGGCCAGAAGAGGGCACCAGATCCCTACAAACTGGGATTACAGGTGGTATGGGTTGCAGGTTGTGGGTACTGGGAACTGAACTCCAATCCTTTGACAGAGCAGTGTGTGCTCTGGATACCTGGTCTTTCCCCCCACCCTACACATCCAGTTCTTTCTCAAGTAAATTATAGTGTGTGTGTGTGTGTGTGTGTGTGTGTGTGTGTGTGTGTGTATGTGTGTAATTTTTATGATGGTATTTGTTTAACAGACTGGTGTGAACATTAGTATCAGGTTGTAAAAGCGGTTCCTCTAAGTTACTCCGGATATCATAAATTCCAGGAAACGCAGATGTTAAAGAATATTCAGTACCTTCCGCCGATGCTCTGTTTTCTAGAAACCTTCCCCACGCAACTTGTACTTCCTGAACTTGGATTTATTAAGTCCTGAACTTGGGTTACATTGGTCTCCCTGCCCCCCTTATCCATCGAGATATTTATTTTTCTTTTCAAAGAGATTAAAAGGCCTCAAAGCCCAGCTTCAGCATGCATCCCGCGGCCCCGCCTGGTGATCGCTTTGTGACTACATCACAACACAAGCTGCAGAGATTTGCCCCAGTACCTCCGACTTGCTCAGCTTCCTCCAGCCACTTGGATAATATTGCTTTTAGTTTACATGCATTTTTGAAACTAAGCTGCAAGTTTTCAAATCGGCAGATAGTTGTTTGGCTGAATTCCGAGCCATGCACAGCGGCCAGAGCTTCACCCACGTTTGTCTGGGTGTATCCTATGAAAGGAGGAGAAGTCAACCTTATCTCCAAATTCACCAGAAGGATCGCAGGGTGGGCCCATTATAGCACACCAGAAGGATCAGGGTGAGTCCTTAGCACACACGCTGAATCGTTATGCATGGTCTTGCAATTTAGAATTATTTAGGTTTAGCATATAATTATAAAACACACTAAAATGTTCCTCTAGTTAATAAATTACTTTTTCCCTTAAAGTGAAAAGGACTCACATGCAAAGATAATGGTAGCAGAGAACAGATACCATGTGCATGTCATAACACTTAAAAATGAACTTAGAAATTCTTGGTCTCTATATATATTATAAAATATGCTCAAAACATTTGACCCATCGGTTATATTGTACAAAATGTACAGTGATAGATTAAGCATATTTTTATGCATGAATAAAATTTCAACGATATATTATTACACCAAATAAAACTAAGATTGAGGCTTGCTTTGTCTAAAAACATTTCATTCAAAACATGATGCCTATGGTCCCATATGGTTTGCATAACTTCAAACACATTTACTGTATTATTTAGTAATACATCTATCTCCCAGCAAAAGGTCCTTATGAATTGCACCCAAACATTACTAGAATATAAGGTAAAATAAACCATCAACCTATAATTTTAAATATCCATAGCAATATAAACAAAATTGAAAATAAGAATGACAATGATGTCTCCTGCTGTTTCTTATATGTACTCAGTACATATTATTTCAGGGCCTAGGGCTATACACCTAAGTGTGTAAGATGATTTCATATGTTGTGCATCAATAAATGTCATTATAAATTACCTATGGCTCATTCCACCAGTTCAGAGGTTTGAACTATCATTTCAACCCATTAAAAAATACAGCCTTTCATGAATTTGAACCACAATTAGTTGTAATGGTTATTCTATTTTAAAAATACTTTTCCATTGAAAATGAGCAGTAGCTTGGAATAGACTGTTATCAGAATTACAAATGGTTATTAAACAGTAATAAAAAAATTTAAAATGAAATTTAACGTTATAACTAAAACTACACTGTCGTGTCACTTTGTCTTTTCAAGGTCCCAAAAATTAAGAGGACATTGATCCTTCAACCGCTGTTTACTCATTTCATAATCTGGTCATTTGCTCTCTGCTGGAGACAGAAAAGATGTTTGTAACGGTAACTGTGGAGATGAGTTTGACAACATCGGTCAAAGTGCATTAGTGTTTAATTGACGATTTGGAGCCAACATTTTCTGTTCACATGTTTATATAGATGCAAAAATGTGTTTATAGAGTTGCTAACCGTGGCACTGTTTTAATCACTAAGAGACTAAAACTATGTAAGAGACCTACATAAATAAACTCGTGTATTTATATTTATAAAGGGTTGGTTCTGTATGCTTGCTTATAGACATGCAAGATATCTCTAGAAAGATACCCAAGAAACTAACACTGGTGAAGAAGAAAGACAAGCAGATGGTATAATATCATTTACAGTTTTTCATCATTTCGAATCATATGAGGTTTCCAAAATTTCAAGTCAAGTATTAAATAAAAGGGATGGTTTCAAGCTAATCTTGAGATGGGCTAAATATTAGGAAGTAACATTAACTTACATTAACTTAAAAAAAAAATCCATGCTTTTATCCTGTTAAGAATTTACAAGGAATTGAAGGATTTTGATGTGTTTTAATTTTCCCAATTTGACTAGGAGAAAAAGAGAATGCAAAGCATATTTGCACTTTCAAGTAAAGTATAACATTTTTCCCAGTAAATAGAGTAGGATTTGCAAATTCAGTTCTTTGACCCATCAGAGTGAACAAAGGCATACCTAACTTAATTCTTCTCACTTTAAATTCATTGGCAAATTGCTCAAGTTCTCGGATTTCTGGGGAATCCATATCTATTGGCTCTTCAACCAATTTACTTTTCCGCCTGAGTTCCTGCTTGAATTCAGAGGTTGTGGGGTCCTCAGCCAGGAGAGGCTGGTGCAGGGGAGGAAACCCATGACTCAGGGTGTGATCTGGAAACTTGTAAAGACAAGGGGTTAAACTGCCTGTGGATAAAGAGAGAGGAAAGGACTGTTGGTGACTGTGTCTTGTATAGTTCTGGTACTCAGCCTCCCAGATGTTAAGATTATGCTTAATGCCACACTGGTTCAGTCTTAACTTTTACCCCTCCTAAAGCCGAACACAAAATAAGTTGTTAGTTGGCATGAGATTATTTACCTCCACCTCCCCCAAAAGAACAAAACCAAAGCTAGTGTTAAAGAAGAAGTGGACAATTTTAAATAGCTAAATTATTTTCTAGTTCTCTCTCAAGTGGTAAGATTCCATTTATTTTTTTATTTTTTATTTTTTTTTTTGTCTGGTAACACTACATGTGTTCCTGAGAGGCTGAGGCTTGGGTCTAACCATATTGTATGCATCTCTGTCTTCTTAATTAATTTAAGAAGGTACCTGTAGTGTTTGGTATAGCCCAGGAATGAAGTATGTGGACTCTGCTATACTAAGAAATTCTTGTAACTGGGAAATTAATCTTATGGTACCAAAATACTACTGTTTTCATAGTGCATGCTTAATTTCAATTAAAAAGTAAGCATGTATTTTAAATTTGGTAAAGGCAAATAAAACTTAGATCAAAATACATAAATGTAGTTGAGTCGATTTAATGAGCCAGAGAAACAAAAGGTAATTTTAGAACTTCTACTAAAATATTGTGAGAAGCTTTCTTGAAAAGTAGACAATATAAGGGAATCAGTTTCTTTTTAACATTATTTAAAGAAAAGAAAAAATAAAATGCAAAGGAGGGGACAATTGTAGACATGAAACAGAATCCTCCATAGAGGTGTTAGCTTGGCAGCACTGATTATATATCCTAGGAAGTAAGAATGTGCTGAAAAAGGTATAGATGTCAGTGTTTACTTGGAAAGTAGATGCCACCTCAGGTCATGATCTTAAGTGACAAGAAGGCATAGAAGAAAATTTTCAATATATTTGACTTTTTCCTCATTGACAAATTACTATTTTTATTATTGGAGATTTCACTTCTGGTTATGTTAAATGCCATGTATAACCAAATATTGACTAATTGATCAATCTCCTTAGTATAAACAACTAAAAGCAAGTTTTATATGCAGTCATTATTCTCAGAAACATTAAAAATATATCAATACTCCACAACTATGTTCATGAGTTAAATAAATTAGTAATAATATACTATCATATGTAAATCTTCCAATAATATATATCTAATAAGTAATACTAGTGTAGGTCAGCAAAATTTTAGCTGATATTATTTATATAAGATTATGTAATAATAAAACTCAGCTCTATTCAATAGACAGAACATATAATCTTCTCAAATGAAAGTTAAACATATAAGGTCTGTGAGGTTAAATAGCGTGAAATAAATTCAGCTACTCTCCAGATGTGACAAAGGTTTAAGAAAAGAAGTTTTTGTTTATTTATTGTTCTTCGTGTATGAATATTTGCTTGAATGTAGTGTTTGTACCATGTATATACCTGGTTCTTGTGTAAGTCAGAAGAGGGCATCAGTTTCCCTGAACCTGGGGTCAACAGTGGCTGTGAACTACCTTGTGGGTGCTGGGACCCATGCTTTGGTCCTTTGCAAGAACAGCAAATGCTATTAACCACTGGCCTATCTCTCCAACCCAAGAGAGAAACTATTTCTGGTTTTTACAAAATGTGTGCTGCTTTTACAAATTGTGCAGTTAAATTTCTGGATAACCTTTAATAAGAAATTATCCTTATGCTATCCACCCTGGTCATTACATCTACTTCCTCATGCCCATCACAACCCTGTGGGACTGTAAGTCCTCTGTGGGACACAGCTGTCCAATTCATGTTGTCAGGTTCCTTTTCTGTATGAAACTAAATGAGTAGAAAAGAAAGGATGTTTATGATCCCCACTATTTTCAGTCTAGGAAGTCTCTGGATAAGGAAGTCAGTAACTTCCCTTCAGATGAGAAGCTGTCTTAACCACATGGTATGGTACTCACAAGAACTGATGTTGTAATTTAAAAAAAAAAAAAAAAAAACAATGCACCAGAGAAAGATGCCATGGGTCAGAGTTCAAGTGGAGGGTTTTTTTTTTTTTTTTTTTTAATTTTTAAATTAGGGGAAATGGATCATAAAAAAGGGAGAAGGTGAGGGGGAGACCAGCCAGCCTCCAGGAACAGGAGCAGTGAGAGAGAGGTGAGAGAGAGAGACAAAGACAGAGAGAGAGAGAGGAGAGGGGTTGGGGAGAAGAGAGAGAAAAGAGAGGGATGAGAGGTAGGCAGGGCCCTTTTAAAAGGGATGTACACACAGGTGGTGCCCCTAGTGGCTGCAGCTGAGAGCATATCATGTCAGAACCTCAAGGGCAGGCCAGTACAGATGCCTGAATTCCACTAACTTAGGAAAAATGCTTCTTTATTCTCCAATATACTCAGTAAATCAATATACTCAGATAAATCAAACAACTTCCTTTCAAACTTTTCCTGAATTTAAACACATTTGGTTGTCTCTACACGATCTCTTTCAGGCAAAACTGTAATTACATAAAAAGTACATTAGCAGTATGTCACTCCGGGGAAACCCTAGGGTAGCTTATTTATTACCATTCCTCTCAGAAAGCCCACTTCTAGAACAGGCATGTGAACAGAGCCACACTGAACAATGAGCAAGAAACCCCAATTTCCAAGGTTTAGTAACCACAGTAAGAGTGAAAATGTGATAGGTGGTGAAGCATTGAAGATAGTTTTCATTCTGTAATGAAAACTACTTTTTCATTAAGTAAAGTATCCATTGATTCCACCCAAATGAACCATCATTTTCATAGACGTCGCCTTCCTTTGCAATTCATCCTAGTTGTTATCATCACAATCAGACAGAATTCTGTTCCCAGCCTATGACTCAGTCTGTGGAGCTCGGGTAGCGGTGGTATGGTATGAATAACAGTTTTTTAAATCTTTTCAAGCATGGATTACTGAAGAATGCAGTTAGCCTGTGCAGTAGAAATCTGAAAAATGACCCTGAAAACATTGGTAAAGCAGTGCCATCGTTCTCTGTCCGGGTCAAGGACTCCTGTGAAAAGCTTGGGAATGCTGGAGCCCTCCCTACACTCTCTTAGTTTTTCACACCCATGCCCACATGTGTCTGCACAGAGAGAACCGCTTTCCAGCCAGAACAGTGAGGTGGCTAAGCAGAGAAAGTTTAGGGCGTTTATAATCCAGCTCCTTACAGAAGGGGGCTGTGCATCGTCTGGAAGGCTAAGGCACTACAACGCTGCTGGAAGGTCGTTCCCGCAGAAAAGCCAGGCTTCTTCAGGATGCCTCTTTCCTGGACAACCCTAGCATCTTGGGACAAAAGAAAAGGAAAACAGGAAAGGTGGCAGAAGGGAGAAAGGGGGGGGGGGAAGACTAGAAGTTAAGGGGAAAAGCAAATCGAATGGATGAAGAGGTTTCCGTGATCACATTTCATTCCTAAACAGAAACTGTTTTCTTTTCCTCTTAAAATGTACTTTTAAAATAAGGACCCCACCCCCTTATCAAGGCTTAGCTGCTATGTCCCAGCTGGGTCCCTGTTTTTGCCATAGGGCTGGTGAGCCTAGTTACCATGGATGGCCGACGGAACAGCCTCCATACTTGCTTTCTAAACTTCATGATGTTTTAGAAGCCCAGAACCGAAGCAACCCAAGAGACTTAGCTGCCCCAGTGCTGAGCACTTTTTTTTTTTTTTTTCTAGCCATTTAATTGTGGGTTTTCTAGCAGAGGTAGCAGAGGTTGTGAAGAATATTTATGATTCCCTCGTGAGGTTTGTACTGTTGACTGCTGGCATTATGTCTAAATGATCATATGTCTATCTGAGGAGAGCAAAAGAAGAATGCTGACTTATTACAAGCCTGCTTCAACAGGAACCTGGTAGAGAGGTTTCCTTAGTTAATGCTGAGGCTTTTTGCTGTTCCGAGCCCAGACCCCTCCCTCCCCCTCTGTCTTTCTCTTGCACCAAACCTGCCCATAAGATGCTCTGTGGACCTGGAGGGAATGGCTGGCATTTCAGAAAATTCAAATGACACAACTAGATTTCTATTGTCTGTTTTATACCTTGCCTTCCTCATTTTTGAATGGCTGTATTTTATGATTCAATTTGTGTATCTTCTTTGGGAATGAAAGCAGGAAAATTCAGATTGTCTAAGATTTAGTCTGCAACGAAGTGCATGCTAATGCTGAATATATGTCAAGAACCAGACATTCTGACAAATCATAAAGCATATAGTATTTTAATGGCATCCCTCTCAGAAATATTCAAACACAGTCTCTGTGCACCATAGTGAGATTTCATTTTAGTGACAAAATATAACTCAGTTTGAAGGCTACAATGAGGCCTCTAAATCTTGGTATGAAAATTGTGTGCATGATGTCACTAAATCAGAATTTGGATATGGTAAAAGTCTTTAGAGTGTCCTTTCCCATGAACTATGTTGAAATGAAAAGTAAGAGAGCGAGAGGGGGGGGGGAAGGAAGGAAGTGAGGGAGGGAGAGAGGGAGGAAGGGAGGGAGGGAGAGAGGAGGGGACCCTGAATGGGAACAGGGTGCAGAGTGCCATCAGCTGCTTCTCCATGGGACACTCAGTTATAACACAGGCTGCATTATAGGACTCTGAGGCTAGCCACAAACGCTCTAGATAACTGTGGGCCACTTTATTCAGTGCAAGGAAAGTGATACCCAAAGGAATTAGGACAAGAGATAATTAGCCACTTGTCAGTGGCTGGTGTGTGTGTGTGTGTGTGTGTGTGTGTAAATGCATGTGAACGCGTGTATGTGTTGGTTGATTTGGTTTTCATACTAACTCAAGTCAAAGGGCAAAAACCTATCTCTTTTTAAGGAATGTGCTCAGGGAGGCCTGGAAATCACAGTGACAGACTTTCCTCCAGCAGAGAGCAGCATGCCACCATATGCTTGCTGCTTTCTGCTTAGATCCTCAAGTTTCTGCAAAAGCTAAAGGAGGCATTCACTTGCACTCCAACAGCTAATCGAGCATATTTTGCTAATCCACAGCAAATATCATTCGTCAGTTGAGGACGTTGTTTGTCGTGTTTGCAAATACTGACTAGTTAAATGGTTTATAAGTGATGATGGATTTTTAAAGGAATAAAAGCCTTGGTGTTAGATATTCCTTAATTATTTAAAAGTAAAACCAGGTTGGAGAGACAGCTCAGGAGTTAGGAACACTGGTGGCTTTTCCAGAGAACCTGCATTTGAGTCCCAGTTCTCACATGGTGACTGACAACCGTTTATAATTCCAGTCCCAGGGGATCTGATTGCCCTTTCTGGTCTCTGTGAGCAATGCATGAAAGTGACACACAGACATACATGTGGATAAAGCACTCATACAAATAAACTAAAAATAAATAATTTTAAAGAAAGAAAACCCAAGGTTTATAGGCAATCATTAGGAACATAAACTCTGAAACAGGTGAATAGAGAGGTGGGGGGGGCTATTTAAAAAGGGGGAAAACATGACAAAAATTTCTCGTATGAAAACAAGTTCAGTGTTTTTCAAAAATACTAGCCTTCTTACCATAACAGTTAAGATGATGATTTATTCAAAATGATGCTTGACCGAATGTAAGAAATGTTAATATTCTCAATATTTTATTGCAAAGTCTTAGTGTTTTACTGAGAAATTAGAGATTAACAAACTAAATTACTGGTCCCATTTTATTTAAATATTCTAAGCATATCTACGCTTCTGTGTGTATAATTGCTTACTTGGAGGACAAACGAGTAAATTTTAAAAGATTTCTTTCATTCTTGGTTCCTTTATCCAAATTTCTACTGTCTCTGTTTCTCCTCCGCACTCCTTTTTCTATTACTATGTCTTCATTTTTTCCATGATGAGAATTAGTTTCCTGCTGTAGTAAGAAATATAGGCTACTAAAGTATTTCCTTCAGAACAAACTAACAGATAAAAAAAATCTGTGAACAACAATCCATATATTTTTTTTTAAACTGAATAAATCACTTTATTTAGCCATGCCTCAAAACTAAGTAATGAATTCAGTGATGAGGGGATCTCGTAGGGCAGGCGTTTGCATTTCTAGAAAGCCCAGTTATCAGTGTATTTACTCTGACACCAGTGAGTTGGCACTATACTCCTAAGAGGGATGTTTCACACCTCCTAGGAAGTGTGCTACTACTTCACCTACCTCAGTAAGGCTTCAGAAGCAACCTGGGAAGGATCCCCATAGCCTGAAACAGCCATGGCCAAAGCCCCCGAAAATCAGGCTGAGCCTTCTATTCATCTTTATGGAACGAGTATACACAAGCTGTACTGTGATGAAGGTGATGCTCCCTAAATCATGGTGTCTGGTGGAGTAGCTACTAGACAAACAAGAGTATTGGCCACTGGGAATGGAGATGACTTAGCAGAAACTGGATTTTTAATTAACTTTCATGTAAATTTAAGTAACCACATAGGTTCTACTAGCCAATATAGTATTGCTGCAGGAAATCCCACGAAGACAGTAACAAGTGGCATCTACCAGTTTCAAGGGTAATAAGTTAAAAACAAACAGCAACAGTGAAACCACACAAAGCTCATGCAAGAGTCAGAAACACTGGAGTTCAGGATTGTGGAGAATAGAGCCATCAGGTTTCTGAGGGCCTCACGGGTCAGGGGACACTTGGGAAAGTGACAGATCTACCACTATCTCCCAAGCCAAAAGATCAGAATTTCATGTTACAGTCCCATCACCATTGCCTATGGTCCAGGAAACCCAACACCTTTTCCCTCAATTCAATACCACGTATACGTATTTTCTCTTACCTGCCATCACTCCGTAGGTGGATGGCTGGTTTCCATAATGACAAGAAGGCACAGAATAATGAAGTCCCGTCGCTGTGTTTCCCATAGTTGTCACCGAGAACGTGTGCAAACATTTAGGAGTTTGGATCAAAGACAAAATAGACGGGACTGGTAAGAAAATGTATGAGGATTCAAGACACATTCAACTCATTTCAAAGTTACACATTTATGCGATTCTTAAATCATATGCCACTGTGTACTTTCTTCCTCCCTGGAGTTTTCTAATGAGCAGATAACATCAGCCAAAGGTGGTCTCAACTGATGAGATCCTATAACACCAAACTAGCCTTGTATGGTGTACATCGTGGCTACAAGGATCTGCTGAAGAGAGCTGAGAGGAGATTGGGCCCCGGCTCTTTGAGGATTATCAAATTCTTGAAGGTTGCATCCATTGAAAAGTCGTCTGAACATCGTGTGTGGCACAGTATTATAAGGAGGGTGTATCTGGAAGAGCGAATACCTAAATAGACTCTTGAATAGTCAGAACTAGTGGATTTGCTATTCCTTTTACTAAAGAGAAAATGCCACATTAAGTATTCCCTCATTTAGAGACAATTATAAAAATACTACTGTTTTCAGGGCTTTGATAAAAACCCTGTGATAGCGTTTAGTCCAATTATGTTGGGCTTGTAGGTTTTCGGTATGCACGCAAATGGTAGAAAATTTTTAATGATAAAGTCGGTCAAAAAAAAAAAAATAAGTTCCTTTATTGCTGAAGGCTCTGTACACATAGAACCCCAAGCATAGATTATACATCCTGTAATTAATGTGCATTTATAAATAAAACTGTAAAATGTATGTGAAGTTTTAAATATAAATCAACATTTTAACCACAGGAACATTTGACAATGAGACCACCAAGAAAATGGTCCCTATATTTACTTCCTCATTTTTATCTCATATCCTAAATATAATTTATAATACAATAATAATGAGGCTATGTAATAAATATAACAATTTTTTTCAAACAAATAGCATATAGAGTACATAGGAGTATTTGAGAATATTAACACATGATGTAGGGATTAATGACATGAGGTCTTTTCATAGAATAAATATTTTTTTCTAAATATAGAATAATATTTCACTGTAAATTTCTGCATACGTTTCCAGTCTTAAAATTGATGTAGAGATGTGATGTAATTTTACAACATAGTGGTTACGCAGAACAATTTCATTATTCATTTAAAAAAATTAAATGAATTTTAAGAATATTTAATACCTAGGGGCCTTCATTAAAATAACTAATCACTACTTAACCAGATGTATACATAACAATAATTTTAGGGAAATTATAAATCATTTTAAAATAATTAAAGGAAACTTTTACAAATTAATTTTATTTATAAGAGCTGTATGATATTTGGTTTTTGATTTTAGGAAGTTGTATAAATGACAGGTTAATTATTAAATGATTTGTTATATATTTTTAAATAAAACAATAGAATTTAAAGCCACATCCTTTTGCTACATTATTATTTTAATCTTAAATTTTACTTTCCTACTGATCCAATATTATTCTTACAGTCAATGAGAGAAATGTATCATTTTTCTAATTCTCAATTTATAAACTGTGTTATTTTAAAAGTATGGTTGTACTGTGATTATTTAAATTATCTATAGGACTATTTATGTGATTATTGTAGGATTAAATTACTTTATTATTGTATTGTCCATCAAATACGTTTCAGTACACTCTCAAAATTACCTTTTAAATTAAACTATGGGAATCTTTAGTAGATTAAATAATGCTGCCAGAGTCCATATACCTAATGTCTTCATATATGTCTAGAAACTGCTTGTCACAAAAATTTGTTTGTTTTAAGTCTTAAATACAAACTTTTATTTTTACAAATAATAAGTTTTACCTCTCCATGTGAGTCAATTACACTTTCAATACTGAGAGGTGAATGAGGATTGCTGCTTCATGGAAAAAATTGGGTTGGTTAGCTTAGAGCTCTGGACATCGGTAGCTTGACTCTGAGACCAGCTGTTTCTGCTTTAAGTGCAAATAGCAAAGAGCACATATTTGTGTTTAGATAACATGTTTTGATCACCACTTTCATTTAGGAATGTTAAGTGAAGATAAATTTAAAAAGTTACTTCTAAAACAGTCTTGGAGAAAGTTTAAGTCTCTCAGCTCTAAATGATACCTGGCTTTCTTTTCTAAGTTTAAGACTACACCTTTCAATACTAGTTTAATGAAGCATTTAATTACTTTATCCATTAAAGCTCGCTTCAGTTTGTGTTGGGAATTTCTTGGTTTATTTTTATAAGGTTTATGGTTGTTTAAAGATAGTAGCAAATATAATTCAAAAATGAAATACATTTTAATATAAAGTAGTAGTACCTACTTAACATTAAACTATTTAGAATATTTCATTTTGATCTCTATCCATAAACATCTCTATTAAAATAGATTTCAGAGTGAAAAACACTCAAGCTCACTGTTTGTGTATGCAGAAAACAATTCTGCATTGTAGAGTAAAACCAATAAATAGATAAATGATTTCCCCTACTAATTTTTTTTTAATTCTTAGGGAACTGGACTTTTTACAATATCCTTAATATTTAACTAACGCAAATTAGAGAAGGGAAATGGAACAGAGAGATTATTCGCTGAAAAGATTCATCACATCCATTCCGAAAACTGTAGGCCCAGCCATGGAAGTCAGTACCTGTAGACATCACGTTGGTGGCATGGTTGGAGACTGGGAGGCACTCAGCAGCACTGTGATGCATGATCAGAGGCAGACTTGCAGGAGCATCAGAATTCAGAGGTATAAACGTATCAGCCGAAGTGAAAGATTGGCAACTCATTCCCACAAGAGAGTGGAAAAGTAAGACCCGCTGCTTGCCAGATCACTTTTATTATATTACTGTATCAAAGGGCCGATTCACTTCACGCTACCTGCATATATACATCAGGAAGGCTCTGAGGCGCCGGGAGGGTGCGGGCTAGTATTTATACTGTGAGGAAATCCATTTATACATGTTAATTCTCACCCCCCCCCACCACACACACACCCAGGAGTGCTGCTTAGTTAACTCGAACTGTCTTTTTTTAACCCAAATATTATCTGTGCCTAAGGAGGGACCTGGTTTTGGGGTACAAATTGAGGGGGAAGACAAAAACAGAAACTCTGTTTCCCATCTTTAATAAATAAGGGCTTCGGGAAAGAATAATGAACTTTGAAAAGTGTTTCTCAAAGGTCTGAAGGAATTGAAAACTAGGTGTCTTTTGGTTTCTAATACAATAAAACTTTTAAATATGAGGTGCTTTCCATTTTGCTAACTTCTTAAATAACAAGGTAGTACTAAACTGGGGAACGCATACTATATTTTTAGAAATGAAGTATTTAAGGGCTTGGGAGATGAACCGGTGGCCAAGGTGTTGGGCACACAAGCCTGATGACCGGAGTTCTGTACCTGGAACCTGTATGAAGTGGACGGAGAGAACTGACTTCACAAACTGTCTTCTGCTCTCCACATGCACACGGTGGCATGTGCGCTCACACATATACATCTGTACCAACACATACATGCAAAAATAAATTATTTTTAAAACAAATCTTTAAGTTGATACTTAGGAAAGCATGTGAAATAAAATATGAAAAAGCATGTGCTGTTAGCTATGAGTTTAAATTCAACACTGCATTTTTTTTTAAATATGAGAACTATTCAAAGTTTTCCTGTAGGTATACAGTGGAAAGATTTTAGTAATATATAGTAATGTACAAAGAAGACAAGTATGAGTGGCACACTCTTTCCCTTCATTCCAGTGTACTCATTAGGAACTAACAGTTCTTCCTAGCTACTGACAGAATTCAGTGACATTTTTCTATAGTTGTATCAAATAGACCTCCATCTCCATAAGTGATGTGTACCATGTCCCCTTGATAAGATACTCTGAGGCACAGGCTAGGATTTGGGACATTCAACTAAGATGTTGAAGTAACAATGTAAGTACTGTATACAAATTTCACACACAGATATGCTAACATTTTATGAGAATGAAACACATATACAATCAATTCCAACACACAAACATCAGCCTCACAATATTTTAATTCGGATGATTCCTATACATGAATGGTATGTTGGATTTTAGTCACCATGACACACACCCAAAGGGAACAATTTTTACAAAGAATGTCTGTTCAGGGGTTTCAGTCCATGGTCAGCTGGCCCCATTGTTTGTACTGAGGGTTAACAGAATATCACTGGATGGAACAGGGTGCATCCTCACTGAGAAGGTGAAGAGGGGACAGACATGAAAGGCTATAGAAATCTATTCAAGGCACACCCCAAAAGGTCTATTTCTTCCAACCAGGGCTCACTTCCTAAAATTTCTATCAAATTCAAAAACAATGCCCTAGTTAAGAACCCAGCCTATGGAGCCATTTCATATCCAAACCATTGTGGTGAGTGAATATGCTATGATGTACAGAATGTCAACAAGGATAGTACAGAAAACAGAAGTAAAGGTAGGTGTCTGACAGTACTGAAATGAGGTCCATACAGCATCAGCATCTGAATTCTTTTATTATAATATATTTTGAGATAAAGTAGAATTGATTGCCTCATGCTAAATTTATTATTAATATTGACAACACTACAAATTCAAGCATCATGGTCAGCAACCAGTAGGAAGCTTGAGTAAAAATCCATTAAAAGTGCCTAAATATTAGATATTGCCTGAAAAATACTGTCTTTAAAAATGACATATGTCTTCTCTAATTGGAGAAAACTTTTTGTAGTCAAAATAATTTGTTATAATCTTTCAGAATTTGAATAATACTCATTCTTTCCAGATGTGAAAAAGGCAAGGATGGTTGACTGTGCTTATGGGGAGACTACACTAAGGAAATTTAAAATGATTTTTGAAGGAAAATTATGCATCTAAAAGATTATATAAAGTGATAATTTTAAACCCTGTGATCAAAGTTTTAAAAAATCAAACTTAATCATTTTAATATCATTGTGTATAGTCATAAGAATATACCTATTGAAGCTGGGCAGCTTAGTAATAAATAATAAAGTATTGTAAACTCTGCCTACCTAGTAATGCAAACTTCCTTAATAATTTTATATCTAAAATCACAAAGTTGTAATATTAGACACAATTCAGCAATAAAATAATTTTGAAAGTAAACTAATGTTTTATAAAATATAAATTAGGATGGTGCATTTGAAATTTGTAAAGCTGGAAAACAGATGCCTTCATTACAGTCTCCTCATGGAATTCAATAAGCTCCTCAGACTATTTCTCTCAAGCTCAGCATTCCTTGGTTGCCCATAGTTCTTTGTCTAGGGTTGAAGGTTCTTCAGACTTCCCCCTTTTCAGGTAAACACACATTGATGTCTTCCTTGTTTAAGCCATACGTAGGCAGCCATGTTGGTGAGGCTTCATGTGTGCAGCTTCTCTGACATTTGTAGGAGATATCATGTCACAGCTAATTTTCTGCTCCTAAGATTGACAAAAAAAAAAAAAAAAAAAAAAAAAAAAAATAATGTACCCACAGTACTGATGTATGTGTGTTGGTGGTCGGGGGAGGAGGGGTAAACACAATCCTATAGGAAATAGCCACAGTTCAATATTGGGTACCTTCCTCAGTTTCTCTTCACGTTATTTTTCAAGACAGGGTCTCTTGCTGAAGAGAGACCTCAAGCTCATGGATTGGCTACAATAGCCAGTCAGCAAGCTGCTGAGATCCTCATGTCTCTGCCCCAGTTCCTTGGTTCTGGAAGTATGAGGATATGTGGTCATTTCTTGCTTTCACCACTGAGTCACTGCTCAAAATATTTCTCTCTGGTATATTTTTAGAATTTCCAAAGGTGAGACAGATTTCTGGAGAAGTGAGATTACTGTGTTTAAGTTTATGAACACTTAGTGTTTTTTTTAATAGCAAAAAATAAATGATACAATTTTTGTTTCAAATATCATGAAGAGATTAATTTAAAAAGGAAATTAGGGAATGTAAGAAGCTTTCCAAAGAAACAGAAAGCCATTGGTATTGTTCAGAATCTCATGTCTACTTTCTTCTGTTTCTCACTTCTGTCTTACTCAAAAGAGTAGCTTAGGTTCATTAGCCATCCTAGGGCTTGTGTTTTCAAGTCGGCAAAGGGGACCACCTATCAGCTTATGAGTTCACATTTATGACAGTTCTCTTACTCACCAGTGCTGTTGGTTAGATAAGAAGCACATTCATGGCTCAGAAATGCCTACATTTGTGCATTGCACGAGTCTGCTTGGGAAATGCTAAGTCATTTAGGCAAAGAAGGATACACTAATGTCTAGGAAAAAAAGGTCTAAAATATGGCTAATAGAGAAATACCATCTGATCCAAGAACCTCTAGTGAATGATATGGATAATTGCCTTATGATTTCAATGGTATTACAGAGTATGAATACTTATGCTGGATGGATCTGGTGAGAACACAGAATTTGAGATCTTTAATTCACGTTTTGAGTGGCTAACACACTATCTTTTTAGATTTATAATAGCTATTTATGTCCATCAATTTGATTACTAACTCTGTCTTAGCTTTTTAAATTATTTGGCTTTATTTTCCACTCATATTTGCTATTTAATTTTGGGTATCAAAGCCAGAGCCTTACATGTACTAACCACATGATCAGCCACAGAGATACAACCTTAATCTTATATCTTTTCAAATGACTGAAACTGGAAATTTCCTTTGGTTTTGAAAACTTTGTCCAGTCAAATCATCTTCTATTTCCTTGTTTGTCCTTGAACTCATGCTAGAAGATATTGTTATAAATAATAATCTTGACTTAAATATATTTACTTGTTCTTTTGTGCATTTCTTAATAATTCAGTATTTTAACATTATCTGTTACTCAAAAGGGTTTGTTGTTATTTCAGAGTCTGAAAGAAGTTCTATCTGAGTGGTTTAAGTGGTGGTTCAGTGGTTAAGAGTATATTTTGCCCTTTAAGAGAATTGGGCTTGTCGGGCATTGGTGATGCATGCCCTTAATCCCAGCACTTGGAAGGCAGAGGCAGGCGGATCTCTGTGAGTTCAAGGCCAGCCTGGTCTACAGAGCTAGTTCCAGGACAGCATCCAAAGCAATACAGAGAAACCCTGACTCAGGCGGGTGGGAAGAGAGAGTAAGAGAGAGAACTGGGCTTATTTCCTAGCTCACAACCATTTGTAACTCCAGTTCCAGCGGAGTTATTAGCAATGTCAGAAAAAAAAAAGGAAAACACATAATGCATATAAATACATAAAGGCAAATATACATATATAATACAAAAATAAATAAAAACATAAATATTTTACATTAATTTCCCACATCTGACATTGTGGTCCCAACCTGTAATCATAACATTTGGAGCAAGAGGCAGGGGGATCAGGAGTCTCAGGCCAGCCTAGGGTACTTATTGAGATCTTGTCTAAGAAAATAAAGAAAATAAAAATTTTCTCTTGACATTAAACACTAAAACATTGTGTTTGTGTGCTTATTATGCTTTGAGAGCTTATTTTTTAATTAAATAATAAAAATCGTAACTCAACTTTAAAACTAGTTGCATGGATGTAGATCATTTGGGTATATACCTAAGAGGGGGATTGCCTGGTCCTGTGGTAAACTAATTCCCATTTTCCTGAGGAACCACCATACTGATCTCCAAAATGGCTGTTGAGTTTGCACTCCCACCAGCAGTGGAGGAGTGTTCCCCATTCTCCACATCCTCTCCAGCATGAGTTGTCATCGGTGTTTCTAATTTTAGCCATTCTGGCAGGAGTAAGATGGTATCTCAAAGTTGTTTTGATTTGCATTTCCCTGATAGCTAAGGATGTTGAGCATTTTCTTAGTGTGTTTCAGCCTTTTTGATTTCCT